GTGTTGGTTGGGGATCAAAAAATATGCGTGACATTGGATTCTTTTTTCTATTTTGAAATCTTAGTGATTTATGGGTATGGAAATTGTGTCCGATTCCGATGTTTAGTGATAGACTCACCTCTATTATAATACGCAATGGTTTTATTAATATAACTAGTATAAATCGGTTTACCAATATATTATGACTATACCTTTGTTAAATTTATTCTTAACCACCTAAACCCACAACAAATGAACGACAAGTCGTTAAATCATAAACTTCTTTTGATAATTCTTGTACAAACTACGTTTAAAAAACTAACTTCAAGACATTTATTGACCGTAATTAATATAGTCAAACCTTTTCCTAAGTGTTACAAACACTTCTATGAAAACAGCATTAAAATCGTTCCAGCCAATCACGAGATAATACACACACGAACATACCATATATACATACATACGGGTCCAACATACAACATCCTTTTTTGAAGTCGGTTAAGAAAACTAATCGTAAACGATCACTAGCTAAACATTGCTAAACGCTGAATTAAAATAAAAACAGCGCTTGCACCACTGGATAATATTATAATTAGTATACTATTCTATTAGTCTCTATGACTAAAGACAAAGACAATAATTAGATAAAATCTTCTAAGACTAACAGATAAACTACGAGAACAACAAACCACTGAGTTCAGTTTTAATATGAACAAATTAGAAACCAAAGCAGTTGTCCAGTCTAATTATTTTGAATAATTTATTCAAATCTGTGTACAGTTTGAATTTCAATGCATTATTTATTTATTATTTTGAAGCTTTTGAACAAATTGAATGATTTCCGATTGCACTCGACAATTTTAGAATTAGATCGATGCTAGTTTAGAATTATTCTAGTAATGTATCGTATGTATTACATTTTTAGATTACAATTGTTATTCTTTAATCTAAATAGGTACTTACCAATATTCTTTTTTCGAAATTCTTATTGAACTTAAAATGAGGATCTAATAATTGGAATGCTAACGATTTTAATAGTAAATCAGAGTAATAAATCTATTTCGATCAAATGTTGACCACTGACTACAAAGTTACTGTTGTCGAAGTGCTAATTTTGAACCATTGATAAGTAGACCAAAATTAATATACAGGCGTTGTTATAAATTCGATATACTTCATTTTGGTATTACCTTATATTTTATCGATTAAGTTCAGTAGCAACTATCAATTACTTGGCAATCTAGCAGCAATCTCTTTCTCTCAATAATAATACATAATACATAATTATATTGTCAGATTGTTATATTTTGTTATATCAGAATAGACATCCAGAGAAATCAAATTGTAATTATCTTAACGTAAGAAGTCGATTGGCCAAACAAATAAATGAACCAACTGACTCGGTCACCAACTAATGGACAATACTCGTAAAAATACCGTATCCACATGATCACTCAATAACGCATCCATCAATGAAAAAGAAACGAAATTCAAATCAAAAAAACATCTTCAAATCTCTGACTGCAGCTACTGAATTCATTCGTCCTCAATGAGACTTCAAAACTATTATTTCTTGATTACTTATCGAATTGGTTGTCCAAAAAAAGGCAACCAGCCTCTAAGGTAAGCCGACGGCAGTATCGTTGACACAAAAAAGAAGAAAAAACTAAAAACTATTGAACCATACCTTTCCACATCAATCGTAATCGAAAATAAGTCTCTTCTTCAAAACCGTGACTTACTTTCTCAAAATGTTTTACTTACCATTTAAGATATACACGAAGACCACCAACTCTAAAGCTTTAGGAAGGTCAAAAAAATTTGATGTAACCCGAAGTGAGTACAATGGGTTAGTTTTGTCCTATTTTAAAAGACCACACAGTTTAAACATGAATTTTGCTTTCTTGTAAGTACGTCTGTAGATTTTTGTTGAGAAGTTCGACAATCTTTAATGACTTTAATCTTAGTATTAGTATTAATACCTCACTAATCCCTAAAATATCGATTAAGATAATATCAATTGATTAAATTATAATGCTTCAACCATGTTACTTGTTAGATTAACACTTTCATCTTCATTCTTCAACTAGTTTCCAATGTATGTGCTAACAAAAATAGTACTTAACAAGAACATTATAAAACACAACTTCTATTAAAAGCTATGAGATAGTTATTCCTACTCTATCATCTGCTACTGTAATAACAATATTCTATCAACATTGTATAATTGTTCCCAGTATAATAATTTGTATGCAATATGGATTGCATTTCATATAGTTTTCGTTTTCTTCGTCCACGATTTGTCCGGTTGCCATCGATTTTCGCTTTCGATTGTCGAACGCTTTGCATCGAGTCCATTGCCAATGTCTTGGTGTAATTTATGAATTGTTGGCGTAAAATTTTTTTATAAGTTGTGAATTATTTTTTAGTTTTAACTGTACTTTGTGTTATCTTTGCAATTCATTTTGGAAGTTGATTTGGGATTGTAATAGGTATACTAGTCTTTGTTTTTTATTAAAAAAAATCGGTAACTTTATTTTATTTTATTTACTTTAATCCTATTTTTTAATGTCCTTTTTAATTTCATTTTACGTTTTAGTGTATAACAGTACCCAAAAAAGGCTAGTTAACACTAACTTTTACGGATTTCGAAGCTAGAGCATAGTAATCCAGTCACGTTGCCGATACAAAAGTGTTAAAACGGTAATCGTTAAAATAAACCACAATTGTAAGTTATAAGTTTATTACTTGGGCCGTTTCGACTCGTGACTGCAACCACGATTTAGAGCGTGCCAAGTTTACGTCCGACCAAGCTTGAACTAGTTCATGTTTCTCTAACGTTTTGAACTTATATAGTTCTCTGAACTGCATTATAAGTGCATGTTCAGTAGGTAAATGTAATACTACAACAGCTTATAATAATAGTTTTAGTTGCTTGTCGTCTAAACGATTTGAATAACTGAACGCATTTGTTTATTCAAAAATTAAATGCAACGATTTACACATCGTTCTATTTTTAAAATTTATTGAATAAACTGTAACTTACATAATATTTCTTTTATTACACAATCGTTTATTTTCAAAATTGTATTCTGTTAAATGAATAAATAAATGTTCATTTTATAAACCACAATTACCTTTACCTATGTAGTTTATTCGTGTTATTTATCCTGTCCCCGAGATTCTGAGACTAGTCGGAACATGTTTCTCGCCTGACAGCGTTGTAACGTAAACAGAGGATATTTTTGACTTGATTGACGAGAAGTTCTGACTGCCTGGTGTAAACATTAGTTTATGAGTTATGTTAACCAGTTACTGTAGCACTGAACTTGAATTTAAATTGTCACTTGTATAATTTATTATTTTTGCGTTTAACGATTTATCGTTGTTAGTGTAAATTAACGATTTATTTATTAATGTCGTGTTTTTGAAAATGATTGTTTGCTAAAAATATGTACCTACTTATTTTTTATGTTTTATTTCATTTTTCTTTAAAATCCGAGTCTAGTTAATACTGTTTCGAAATGTAATTTTAAAATTGTAGGTACCCAGTAATAATTCTGAAAAATATGCATTTCTAAAATTTAGCGTAATTATTTGTGGATTAATATTTGAACTATTAACGGGTTTATTTATCAGAAAAGAAAAACATATTTAAGTTTTACAAAATAATGTTTATTTCACAATTATTATCCCATAAAATATTTGGGAGAAAATTTAACACAATCCTGGTTATATATTCGATTACATGCTGTCCTTAACTACAATAGGTACTTGTTATAAGTTTGAATGCTTATTACGAAAAAAAAAATAAAAATCACAAACTTTTAAATGCAATATTTACAAGTCAAAATTATTAATCCTATATCATTTTTATACAAATAAGGAAACAATTTTTTTTAAGATTTTTTTACACTTTTTTCGAAACAGAACATATTCTGAAACAAATCGTTATGTTTTAACAAAATTAATTTTAATTCACCTGACATTTTATACGTCAAAGTATTTACAGTTATACAAATAAATTCAATTACATATAAAAATGGAGTTATTTTAATAATAGATACTCCCATAAATGATTTTAACATTTTTTAGCCTTTGATAAATTGTTCACGTTTTCGTAAATTTAACTAATATTTGGTGTCTAATCGATTCGAATGAATTAAATGAAAATGAATCTATTCATGACTATCGAAATTATTTGGAACTAAAATTATAATTGAGATCTATATACGTGTCTTATAAAAGTAGTCTAATTACTAAATTTATTTTCGTCGTCAAATCAAATGGAATAAATTAAACTAAATTTAAATGAATCTACAATTGATAAACAAGAGATCAAATGGAAATGTAACTAAAAAAAACTTAACAACACTAAAATTATTTGTAAATCGCAATCTGTTACAAGAATTGCTACTATTTTGTAATCACTGGTAAAATTATCTTTTAAAATGCAGCAGATATTTATTGGCAAAAGCGAACTTACGAACATATTATTTTATAGAAAAATATTTCTGTACGATAATAATAAACATTTCATTAAATGCACGACATAAAAAAATATTATCATTATCATTTTTTTTTCGAAATCATGAGGCGTTTTGTCGAACTTCACTCAAATTTGGAAAGAAGCAAAATTCATTTTTAAAAAAGCGGAATATAGTTATATGTTAGAATCGCAATGTCGAATTAAATTGAGCTGTAAGAACTACTCGATTTAATTCGGACGAACCACCATTTACAATTTAAGTGCAGTTGGACACAACATCTCTTCCAGAACATATAGGCACAAATAAAAATACGGAGGGACTTAAAAATACGTAACAACAGTCCAGACCTGCTTTGCAGTATCACTGTCAACAATACTTATCTAGTACAATCTTCATTTTATCTGATGGTATTGAAGAGAGACGACGCGAGGGATACCTTTATGATGGCCACGACCATCACTAGGTTGACGATGTAGGTCGAATTGCATCTTAAGTGGTAAGGTGGTGTGTTATGCTCACGAGGACACTCACCTCGCCTATTCTCCTGGACTTCTTGCCCAGGCTGTCGAGATACCAAGATGTGGCATAGAACTTCGTACAGCTCGGCTAGGAGCCGGTTCAGCCGCGAAAAGTTCTCCTCTGTTGCCTCTCTTTCACTCGGTAAGTTGAATGCTATAGCCATCTTTGTTTCTCGCAACGTCTTTTTCTACGGAAGAAACGTGGACAGATATCTGTATGTTTGTTATGCATAAATACTGTGTCCCTGTTTGTGTTTAACTCCTCTCCGCCTTTGAATGCAAATCTTCAACTTTGTAAAAATTTTGAATCAGTCAAAAAAGTTATTCCAAATTTTTCAAAGATTTTCGTCCAAAAATATTTTTCAGATCAGAATATCTCTCTCCGACAATTCAGAAAAGTCTTCAAGTGGTACAAAAATTTACGCGACGAAAATTTTATGAAAGTCAATTTCTTGAAAATATCACTCGAAAAAGTTCACTTTGACACACCAAATGGCACAAGGTCCGAAATAAAAATATACACAGTTCAATTTGGCGATAATGAGATCACAGGTAAAGTTCCGACCTCAAAAGTTCACAAGTTCACAAAAAGTTTTGGCCGCAAAAACTCATGCGGTGCATTGTCCGTAAATCACTCGCAATTTAGGTGTAACCAGCGCACGGTCGATGACACAATCGCGCTAACTAACGCACTATGCATCGCTGCGGCTAACCGATGTAAACAAACTGACTTCGCACGCCGCTCTACAAAAGAGGTCGACAGACGACTATTGCACGTGCGGCCGGCGCGGAAGCGAATCGTGTAATAAGGGATAATACTTCGTGCACATCATTGCCTCGCTCGACGCGTCCCCTTGTGTTTGTGTGGTGCATAACGTGTGCACACACGCACACCAACGAAACCCATTTGATTATAAATAGTGGAACGCACGGTAGCACGCTCCCTTCGCACTCCACTACTACAATCAGCGTCCACACTGTTCTCCCCGTCCCTTTCTCCCTTTCTAATTCTGAATATGTCTATCTCTTTTCAATCAGATTACATCATGTTACAACAGTAATCGACAAAGTGTGTCTCTCTCGTTTCAATGATACAAAACCCTCCCTTAGTGGAAGGGGAAGAGACGATAGTGTGCATTTTAGATTTTGGTTGTAGAAAGCGCGCCAAAGCGAACTGGCCAATCGGTGGGCTGTATCGTATGGGGTGAGGTGACGTAAGAATGGAGGACTCGAGACAACGGGGTTGTTAAACAGAAAGCGTTCACTCGACCACTGGCTCTCGCCACAAACCTACTATGTTTCGTTTCGCGATATTTTACTGCTCTTTGTTCAGGAGATAGACGTAAACTTGATTTTGATAGCCTCGGGCCTTCGTACTGTGACAGGAGTTAGCGCGCGTGTGTTTTATTATTAGTAATTCGGTAGTCCGTCTGTAAAAGCGTTATAAAATTGTTTTAATGATCGTGGTTTTGCCATACGCGTCGGTTTGTGAAATCGGAGGTGTTTTTTAGGTTTATTATCGTTTAGGGTTGAGTGGAAACCTTTGTTTAGATCGAACGCCGGCAATAAAATTGATAACCGAAGTTAAACATAAAATGGTAAATAAAATTCCCATTTGCGTGGTTTTGAAATGGTTATTTGTGCTTTTTTGTTTGTCTTGAAAGTGAATTTTAGTTTTCCATATCTCGACTTTGAAAATAATTTTTGTAACCAAATTTTGTGTTGTCAAAAAATTTTATATGAAAATATCAGCTAAACGTAATGTAAAATAATTGTTCGCATTCCACAAGTCGCAAAGTTAATTCCGTAAGTTCGTACACAAAAATCTTTTTTTAATGTCCGAAAATGAAAAAAACAGCGTAAATCAGAGCAGAAAATTATCGTGAAATAAAAATGTCAGGGCACCGAACTTGTAATGTATGCTTTCCAGTTTACAGCGATGCAGTGATTTAAACAATATTTTTCACACTTACACAAGAAAAAAAAAACGATAAAATCCATATTCCTGGCTACCAGGAAATGGCTTATAATTTGATTTTTTTACATTTTAAGACACTTACATTTTAACACAAAATTCTCACTACTACTCACATCACATCACATCACACTTCTGTCTTCACCCAACACTAAATAAGAACTAAAACGACAAATCATTAGGATTTTGGCTCTACCGTAAAATTAGTCATGACAAACAAAGTCAGACCAAGGACTGCTGGGTGATTCCTGACTCACATTTTGTTATATTAATTAAAATATCACGATGTTCAAATACCATGTATGTGGAACTTGAGAAAAAATTGGTGCAGGCAAAACAAAGAATTACATTTAACACAATACTGCAAGGTATTTAGGAAGTTTTGATGAAATTGATGGAAATGATATTCTGAAAAAAGTTGATTCAGATTGACTTCGTAGTTATATTAACTTTAGGCAACTTTTACTACACCAATAAATATGAGACAAACCAAATGCTGAGAAAAGACCATTTTTCAAGACAATTACCGATTTTAAAATTAAATGTCTAAATATAAATACTTCCTATTTAAATCATTACAATACTTTTTAACATCTTAGCGTCATGGATAGTTGAGTTTCAGATCATGTTAAAAAGACACTGATAATGATATAGTTGTCAACAAGTAGCTATGAATTAATTTTTATTAATGACTAGAACTTTACTATGAACTTATGAACAACAGCAATGAAATAGTACACAAAGCACCGCTAATTTGTTCGTAACGCTCACATCGACACTACTGTCATTTACACAATGTACATGTGTGGGTAATTTCATATTACTGTGTATAAAAATATTCGTCCACCACGTTCACATTGGTATTTTCATTCTTGTGTCGGTATACGTATTTTTATAATTTAATGCATGGGTAAGGTTAAAACTATTTACAATCATTGATATGACCCGACATTTTCACTGTAATTATCGTAGTGCTCGTGGTCGATTGGTTAATGAGTACGCTTTTATCGTCTTTCAAGGATCAATGATGATGTGGGTTCTATTCCAGCTAAAAGTTTTTTTTTATTTTACCTTGTTGTTTTTCTTATTTATTTTTTTTTTGTTTTTTGTCATATAATATAAATATCAGGCTATAAAAGAAGCAAATCAGTCGGTAAATAAAACAATACTATTTTTTATTAAAATTAATTTATTAATTATACAAATATGTGGTTTTATATTCAATATTTATATCTAATAATTAATTATATACCACATGTTAACTTTAAAGTTCTTCCAATCATTCTAAATTATTCTAAATAATAAATAACTAGAACTAAAATATAAATAAAGGATATTATAGGTATAAATAAATCTAAAGTATTTACTATTAAAATTAACATAAGATTTAGAAAAATAGGATAGGAAAAAAAGAAAAGATTTAATTGTTTCTAATTTCACATTTCAAATATTTGATTAATTAATACTAAAACAACATGTGAATGCTGGAATCGATCCGGTGGCACTTTACTTGACCACTGGAGGCGATAACCATTGCGCCAAGCGCGCCGTAGATGACAACATCGAAATATTGTATATCATTCAGTAACATAAAAATACAATGAGAATGCACTATATTTATATAAGTATTGTATTGCTCGATCGTTCATTATTTTTGATTTCGATTTATTCAAAGTTTGTTATGAGTATTTTTATCTTTACCCTCGTTTTTATTTAAACTTATTTACTAAAATATTACGTATACCGACACAAAAATGATATGTAATACCAAGATGTGTGTGATAGAACGAATGTTTCTATACATATTTATTAATATGAAATTACCCACACATGTTCACTGTGTAAATGATAGTAATGTCGATGTGTAGCGCCTCGAACTAATTAGCGGTGCTTTGTGTACAAGCAAATTGATTTGTACAAACACATTTTATTCAAGAATTAATCACAATTATTATAGTAATCCTTATTTATTTGCCCACAAAAGTCATAAACAATTAGTTTTCAATTACGTGTCTCACGTTATAGTACTGGAAGTTACATCAGCACATTCGTAATTCAGTTCATGTAACAGTGACTCCGATTCTATTCTCATCTGCAAACTAAATGTTTTAGAATTAACTGGGTTCTTCAGTTCGTAACAATATAACGTCTTGTTGTTTGGATTAGATGGACTAAGTTGTGGTAGAAATTTCTGCTGACTATTCTTTTCGTTATACAAGCCCTTATGTCAGAAATTAAGTGTTTATTACTCAGCTTATTCAGGCTTAAGATTCGAAATCAAATAAAGTAACATAGTATATGTCAGGTACAAAATTTTGTGAAAAAGTATTTTCCTAAAAATATGGTCAATCATTCAAGCCATACCCAAATTTCCTCATTATTTTGGGATCATTAGATTCTACGTAATTTTTCATCTTAAACATTTGGTTTTATAGTGCATCAAAAAGTCTTTATTAGCTAATAGAACAACGAAATGATCATTATAAAATTATTCTCAGACCAGTAGTTGCACGTACAGCTAGATCAATATTAAAATAGGAATTGAAGTGCTTAAAGATTTAATTACACGCGATTAAACAAATACTTATCGTCTCGTCTGACAAGTCATCGGACTAATCAACTCTAGACGAACATGTTAAATAGATTTTCCAGAATATGAAAAACAATATTTGTGTTTAGAAACTTCGGGAATTCACCGAGTCTAATTGAATTAGCATTGGCAGCGATTTTTTGGTGCTAACTTAGTTTGGACACAACTTGCAAAGATTGATTCAAAACAGTTGCAATCTACAATATTGTTGGTGTAGGATGTGCCGAATGTTGATAACATTAATATTAAATTTCAATGTTTAACTACTTAAAGTTACTTTTCATGAATTCATGTATCGATTCAAAAATAAACAAACTTAATAAACCGTACAATATTGCTTATACTCTTCGCCTATGCAGAAGATCAAAGACACACAATTACCAAACAGCTCAAAGACACACAACGACTAAATTACCAAAACTATTGTTTCATATTACTTAACTATAAATAATGAATCAACAAAACATAATCAAAAATATTCAATAGAGTCTAAAGCTAATGATAAAAGAGAACTAACTAAACATGATCGCGTAGCTTTAAACGATACAGGTTCAAACGTGTTCAATGAAGTGATCGAAAGACTTAACACTTCGAAAGTAGGTCATGCGAGTGATGACTAAGTAAGTAACTATGGGCTACGTGATTTAAAATTTTAAGATGTTGTGAAGGAACGTTTTGGTGAATTGATTAGCAATCATTAATTTGTTTGTGATAGTCGTTTCGTTGATGTTAGTGATATTGGGGTTTCTGTCTTGTTTAGAGTTTATGGGTCCTTAATGGGATTGTAGATAGGACACTCATTATGAATTAGATATGTAAAGAGTTTGGTTTATACATTACTTTTTCAAAGAATAAAGATACTACTTAAGTACAGTCTTGACTTGGTCTCAGAATTTTGGCGTGTTATTGTCTTTTAGACACAACTAAACAACGAAATAAATGTGATTAGTACCCGACGCTTATCAACACATTACTATAAAATAATAATGAATAAGTGCTCCAACGTTTTTATTACCTACTACAACATATACCTTTTCCAAACTCTGTTACAATTTTGCTCAATAGATGGCGTTAGTAGTCCGCTACGATGATACAAGTATGCAAATGTTTCGAACATTGAGAATGATATTGAAACAGTGTTCGTATCTGCAGTACTATTTTGTGTTTTATTTAATACCATTAATGTTATAAAATATTTTCGTTATTTAAGTTTAAATTGTTGTACTTAATAACTTAGTAACCCGACGTTACTTAATAAACATAGAAGACTTTTAGTATGTGACTGAATATATGTGAACCTTTACAATTAGTGTGAGTATGAGAAATAGCCTACAGTACAGCAGTAGCCTATCATGGAAAGTCAATGTAGATTGCTTCTTATAATAATTGATAATTTGATGAAAACAAAATACACAAACGAAATAAAATCGACCACAAATAAATTATATAAAATGTTAAATAATCAGACGTAAAATACATTAAGTTTTACAACGCAACGAGCTGAGTCGGTTGTAATAAATATTAAAATTGATATGAATTCATAATGCGGTAATGGGAAAGAGGTATAAATTCGTGTTAATGCGATTGACAACCGCTACTGTAATGGTCGACAGTACAAATGCAACGTTATTTAACATTTGGCTCAAAATGTGGTGGATAGCGGAGGGAAAGTATTTTTGGAACGATTTCATAATAGGATTTTAGGATAAACTTAATTGTAAATGTAAATAACTGTATAAATTAAATTTTTGTAAAATAGTGGAAGTTTTGAAATGATTATGCCGGTAGATATAAGCAAGACAAGAGATCCAAGAGGTGGACAGATGCCTAATAAAGATCACAGAGATTTGTTAGATACAGGTCGCTTCCAACCGGCCAATGTAGAGGTATGGAAGTTTAGACGCATATCTATTCAGTAATAGGCACAAGAGGGCCACAGCTTAATACCGTGCACGGCTATTATGATGATAATTATAATAATGTAGTTAGAAACGGAACCGACGGTTTAAAAATAACTAACATAACATCACGCCTCTTATCCCCGAAGGGGTAGGCATAGGTGCACATTACGGCACTTTGCCACTGTACAATGTAACACCCATTTTTCACTATTTGTGTTATGAGTCCCATGTAATAGGGCGTGAGCCTATTGTTAAACAATAAAATAAAGATTAAAAATCTACAAGAAATTTCGTACTATCGAAAAAATCTATTCGTACTATCGCTTCATCTAAATTCTTGTACCACTCAAAAACCGCCACAAAGGGCAATCAGAACGAGCCCAGAGCCGTGAAATCGGACAGTAGCTGCCACGGTGGATTACGATTTAAGTCCAAATCGGGACTCCTTGGTCAAAGTGTAAAAGTGAAGATAACAAAGTCAATGTTTTTTTTTTGGTTTACCAAAAAGGCGACTGGAGTTCTTTTTTTCATTGTATTGTT